AACTATTTCAACTTTGTCATGAACTGTGTATATGCATCTGAAACCACATTACAATTAGGTTTTAAATTTGCGAATAATTTTTTCCGCTAGCCACAAAATTACGAAAAAAACCTGATTATAGCTATGCCACCAATCCCTATCTTAAAACGGTTTAACAAACAACAGTAACATTCTGTGCGTATGTTATCTTGAAGAAGACCACTGCTGTGTGGACCGACGGGGCAAGAATGACGGGATGAACTTGGCGGCGGAGGCTGGGCGTGGTCGACAGATATGGAAGGCTTCGCGAGGGCCGGGAAATGACTGGAGCCGGCTATGCCAGCAATGGCAAGAACCGTAATGACGACAGTAACAAACTAAACGCTCATGAATTTGTTAAACTGTACGAAGGCATACTGGTTCAAGGACATTGAAAGCAATCTACCTCTGGCATATGTCGTTTCCAACAGCCCACTGCTGCAGGAATCATGGACTTCTCGGCAGCATTCGATTCGGTTCGTCGGCATTCCCTTTGGCACAGCATGGAAATGGACGACACTGCAGAAGCATGTGAACCCTCGAGCGAAACTCTGGGGCCTAAGCTGAGCTAACTGACCTTTTGACATTGCTGTGTCTTGTGTCAGGCTGCGTTCCATTCCCTGTTCTATTCAACGTTGTAATTGACTGGATCGTGCAGGGTGCGATAAATGAGTTAAAGTTATTTCTGGTCACTACATCACTGATCTTGACAGTTTCGGCCGCATCGTCACTGTGTCGTCAAATTATCACGAAGCCCAATATGTCCCAAAAGAGCAAACGTCTCTTACCGTGTACCCCTGCCCTTGAAAAAGTAATAGCCTTCAAATATCTTGGCCCTTCCGTCCTTTCAACAGGACAGTGTAGACACGAGATTATGCATTTGATAATATCGTTAAAGACGGGTGTTTCCTTCCAGTTCCGCAGGCCGCTGTGGGTACAAGGGGAGATGAGTTTGAAGAGGAAATGCCGAGTTCTGCCGAGTCTAAACGTCAGAAAACTAGAACCTTTGTGGCCTCTGGTGTTTGCGATTGATATTGCGGACACGATTCATCATCGACCGTATAACCACGTACGTAGCGCCAAAATCCGTTTCTTTTGCAATGTTATCCAGCTCTGCTGCCCTGAAAGAACGGCGACTACATGGGATTGGACCCGTGCTGACAAGTTCTTCAGACGACATCACCTCCATTTCACGAGGCAGACAAGAGGTGGCTGACGCTGAAGTTCACTTTTGTCCGGCAACATACAGATAGAAACGGTGTTAAGAACGTCTGGCAGAAAATGATCGACGTACGTGGAAAGCAGCTATCCTGGTCGTCTTTGGTGCTGACAGAACCAACGAAACGTTGGTATCATCCTGACAGAGGCATTGCAGCATAAACTTTGTCTTATGCCCCCAAAAAACCATCGAATCGGAAGATCGATAAGTTCGTTTTAAAAAGGTTTCAACTTAGCGCCAGTGGGTTGCAAACCTTGATGCGCTATGACAACTGCGGCTGGCGCGATTCGTCGCCGAATACCGCCCGGTCCAAGAGACGATCGTCCCGCTTCGCGGACGCCCTTCAAACGATTGGAAGGAATACTGTAAAATGGACATACTGTATTGCTTTAATTAGAATACTTGACAATCGCTACACAACTATGTGCATATTGCAAGCGCAACACAGTTCAGTGTTCAAACTTAAATAGTGAAACACTTGATTGCTTTAGTTCTTAAGCAGGTGTTGTGTTGCTAATCTGTACAACATCTGGGCTGAGAAACATGTAACCCTTCTTGTAAAAATCCGCCGGGACATTGTGTCTCTGCGCCACTGGTTAATGTTGTTGAGCAAAATGGAGACAGTTGTTTAAGCGAAAGACCAAAAATGCCGGTCGACATTCGTACAGCATTAGGCTTAGACACATAATGAAAATTAATTTGCAAAGCCACGCCAGGAGTGACTGTCTTCTCTTTCGGCTACAGGTGACTGCAATATAAGCTGAGAGTGAGAGAACGCGATTGACCCCGTTCAACAA